AGTCTCCTAGGGATCCTGATACTTTGCTTATCACTGGGAAAGGTTATTACTAGAGATAGATGATACAGAGATTTTTGCTAATTGTGTGGATAGCTAGCAAATGCAGCTAGCTCTTCCTCTGGTGAGAGAACTAAGCTTAAATAGGAGGCGGTCTTTTGTTAAGGATCCAGAATGGAGGGGTAATACTTGGAAAGTGGAAGAAAGTATGGTGTTGGGAGCTGGGTATGGGGAGGGATTTTTTCCAAAGATGTTGCTAGAGAAGTGGTAAGTGGGATTAATTGGCTGGAGGAGAATGAAGAATGGAGTGGATGTTGGCAGCAGAAGAGGATATTGAGAGGTAATACAGACCCTATAAGATTATTCTATGCCATGATCCCTTCCTAATTGTTTTGTTTCTACTTGTAGACTTTTACTATGGGTATTCTTTAAGGTTGGCTGGTCTTCTGCCCTTCCTCTAAATCAGAGTGATACTGTGGGTTATTTGGAAACCTGGGAGGAAGGGGTTGGGATTGGGCGTAATCACTGGGAGGAACCCACTGGCCTTGCTCAGGAGGAATTTGTGTCCTGTCCCGTGAGTAACACTGTTAAATATTTTCCAAGATTAATATTAAGTTGGTGTCAACTCATGTTCTAGGCCCTTGGACAACAAATAATGAGTGATGGTCCCCTGATTATACTTAACTCTTCTGGATGGAGAAAACAGGGGTGGTCTCCTTGGAAGAGAAAAGGGATCTAATGTAGAAAGTTGGCTAGTCAATATCAGCCTGCAAACAGGGCTATCAGAAATTTGGCCAGGGGCACTCGGGTGTATGTGTCAGCATCTTTTCCCTTCATCCTCAATTCAAGTCTTAGTCTCAAGAGTCATGAATTCAAGCCCCACCCCCCCCCACCTCATTGGGCTCCATGCTGGGTATGGAGCCGACTTTTTTTTTTTTTTAAGCTTTATTTTAAATTTAATACAGTAATTTTTATTTTATTTTTTCTTTTCAGCGTAACAGTATTCATTGTTTTTGCACCACACCCAGTGCTCCATGCAATACATGCCCTCCATAATACCCACCACCTGGCTCCCCTAACTTCCCACCCACCCCCCTTCAAAACCCTCAGGTGGTTTTTCAGAGTCCATAGTGTCTCATGGTTCATCTCCCCTTCCAATTTCCCTCAACTCCCTTCTCCTCTCCATCTCCCTGTGTCCTCCATGCTATTTGTTATGCTCCACAAATAAGTGAAACCATATGATAATTGACTCTCTCTGCCTGACTTATTTCACTCAGTATAATCTCTTTCAGTCCTGTCCATGTTGATAGAAAAGTTGGGTATTCATCCTTTCTGATGGAGGCATAATACTCCATAGTGTATATGGACCACATCTTCCTTATCCATTCGTCCGTTGAAAGGCATCTTGGTTCTTTCCACAGTTTGGCGAACGTGGCCATTGCTGCTATAAACACTGGGGTACAGATTGGAGCCTACTTTTTTAAAAAGCTTACAGCAACTCTTTAAAAACTTGATTATGGAAAAATTTCTACATTAAGAAGTTAGAAGGAAGAAAATTATCCCCTATGAAATAGCATTTAGCAAAACTTTGGACTCTTGTTTCATCTATAGTCTTCCCTATCATTTAAAAGCGAATCTCAGGGGCGCCTGTGTGGTTCAGTGGGTTAGGCCTCTGCCTTCGGCTCGGGTCATGATCTCAGGGTCCTGGGATTGAGCCCCGCATCCAGCTCTCTGCTCAACAGGGAGCCTGCTTCCTCCTGACTCTCTGCCTGCCTCTCTGCCTACTTGTGATCTTTCTCTCTGTCAAATAAATAAATAAAATCTTAAAAAAAAAACAAATCTCAGACATAACTATTAACTATAAATACTAAAATTTGAGAGAGATTTAAACCTTAATTTCTTCTGCTTGGGTGGTTGTGGGGTTTTTGTTTCATTTTTTTGTTTTTTTAAAGATTTTATTTAGTCATTTGACAGACGTGAGAGAGGGAACCCAAGTAGGAGGGTGGGAGAGGGAGAAGCAGGCTTCCAAGACCTTAATCTCTTCTGAATGTGATAACTTGATTTTCTAGGTCACTCTTTTTTTTTTAAACAATACTGATATGAGCAAGCGCGTACACAAATGGCGGGGTGGGGGGCAGAGGGAGAGAGAAAGCAGTCTCCCACCTGCTCAGAGGGCCCTATGTCGTATTGATCACAGGACCAGAAGATAACCACCTGAGTTGAAGGCAGACATTTAACTGATCTAGGTGCTCCTCTAGATCACTTCTTACACAGAGGAAAACACCTCTCTTCATTTTGTGGGGTTACTGAGAAAAGTCACCACAGACTTGTTGGCTTAAAACAATGAAAACTTACTCCCATAGTTGTGGAGGCCAAACATCCAAAATTAAGGTGTCGGCAGAGCCATGCTCCATCCGAAGGCTCTAGGAATCCTGTCTTCTGGTGGTTGCCAGCACTCCTTTGTTTTCCTTAGCTGTGTCACCATTCCTATCACTTGGCCTTCCACTTTGTCCTCACTCTTTTTTTTTTTTTTTTTTTTTTAAGATTTTATTTATTTGACAGAGATCACAAATAGGCAGAGAAAGAGGAAGGGAAGCAGGTTCCCTGCCCAGCAGAGAACCTGATGCGGGGCTTGATCCCAGGACGCTGGGATCATGACTTGAGCTGACGGCAGAGGCTTTAACCCACTGAGCCACCCAGGCGCCCCATGTCCTCTCTTTTTATAAGGATACCAAGCGTTGGATTCAGGGCCTGCCTTAATCTAGTGTAACCTCATTTTCATTAATTATATTTGGAATGGCCCTATTTCTAAATAAGGTCACATTCTGGGATTGTAGTTAGACATGTGGTGGGGGTTGGGAACTATTCAACCCAGTCCATCATCCTTCACTGTTCACATGTTTGCTTCATGAGTTCACGTGGCAAGGAGTACTGGTGTTGGTGCTGATACAGTGCCACTAGTGTAAGCATTGGGTCTTTTCAGTTTGGTTTGGGCCCTTAGCTCCCCGAGGCCTGGTCATCTCTGGGCACTGACAAAATCCAAGTTTGTGATCTTGGAAAATTGATCATTGTGATGGGGTGAAATGCCCAAAGAATTAGGACCCTTATAGACTCAGAGCACCACGGTCCTACCTCTTGATCCAGCCATGTTAATCCAGAAGCCCCTAGTCTTGCAATTGGTGCTCTGTTAGCTTTGAGAGAACCAACCCTTTGGTTCTCCACAAGGCAGAGACTAGAAGGTACTGCTCTTGGGTGCTGCTGCAGTGTCGTTGACAGCTATATATGCTGAACATTGTGAAAAGATTCTTTTTCTCAGACCTGTCCCTGGGAAAAAAAAATTATTTTCCTCCTATTCAATGGTTAGGTTTTGTATCTAGAAAAGTAATAATGCACTGGGTGGTTGCTGACCTTTGTGTGCTTTTTGAATAGTGGAGCCCCACTATTAAAGGGAACCAAAAACTCAGACTCAATCCCAAATTTCCAAAACCTCTTTTCAGGGTGTGGGGCGAAGATATGCTCATGTGGTGTTGAGGAAAGCAGACATTGATCTCACCAAGAGGGCCGGAGAGCTCACTGAGGATGAGGTGAGGATAAGGAAGGGGGGCTGTGGGTTGGGCCTGCCATCGAAGGGAAGCCTTCTGTATCTGACATTTGTCCCTGACTGCCAGGTGGAACGTGTGATCACCATTATGCAGAACCCTCGCCAGTATAAGATCCCAGACTGGTTTTTGAACAGACAAAAGGATGTGAAGGATGGAAAGTACAGCCAGGTGTGTATTGAGATGGCAGGGTGTCTAGTTAGAATTAGTTGTAGGAGGTCAGTGGGTAAAACATTCCTCACCCTCTCTTCCAAATCCAGGTTCTGGCCAATGGCCTGGACAACAAACTCCGTGAAGACCTGGAGAGACTGAAGAAGATCAGGGCCCACAGAGGGCTGCGCCACTTTTGGGGGTGAGTAGGGGTGGGAGTCTACTCTCTCTGCCCCTAGAGTCGCAGGGATTTGTCATGCTCTGCCTTCTCTTTCCAGACATTTACTTTGCGTTGTGTGTAACCTGTGACCTTTCTGTTTTCTCACCTGCAGACTTCGTGTCCGAGGCCAGCACACCAAGACCACAGGGCGCCGGGGCCGCACCGTGGGTGTGTCCAAGAAGAAATAAATCTGTAGGCCTTGTCTGTTAATAAAATAGTTTATACACCTAAGGCTTCCTTCTGTGTGATGCTCTGCATTCTTCTGGGGACCCTGATAGGGAAAGCTGTCTCGCTGGGCCCTGTGGGTGGTTTTACTCTTGGTTGATGGCTCCCTCGGGTATCCAAACCAGCTCCACCTCCCCACCCCCGGGCTAAAGCAATGCCCGGTGGTAGTACCACTCCCTGCCCTACCTGAGGCAACCCTGTGGTGCCCGCCCTCTAACGGAAGACGTAGATAAAGCACCCCCACCCCCAGACGGGGGGACCAAGGCAGTTTCAAGACAACCAAGGTCCCTGGGGGTTAGCGAGAAGTGGGTACCTTGAGCCTAGCCAGTTGATGGTCCCGGGAGTATTTTCAGGTCTTGACCGCCCCTGGGTTTTTTTTTTTTTTTTTTTTTAATACGGGGGTGCGTAGGGGCGCTGAGGCCGGGAAGTTGTGGACTACCGGTAGGGATGAAATCCTCTAAATCGTTGACCCGGAAGAGCTGGGGTCCGCCACGTAGCGGGGGGATCGCGTGTGTGGTTAAGGAAGTTGGTCGCGGCTGGCCGGCTGCCCGGCGTTCGCCTCAGCGACTGCGGCACACTGCTCCGAATTCCGCTCCCGCCGGCTCGTGCCGGGCCCGCGCCGCCGGTTCTCCGTCTGCCATGTTACGTCCGCCGCAGCCGCGAAGCTACCCAGCAGCTTCCGGCGAGGCGGGTGCGCCTGCGGCCCTACACCCTCCCAGGGAGGGGGGCGGGACCCAGCCGCCACCGCGGGCGGGGGAGGGGCTCCTGGCGCTGCAGTGACACCCCACCATGGAGCCGAGCTTTGGGGCGACGGGGCCCCGACCAGGTAACTTCCCCGCAGTTCCGGCTGTGCACCCCACACCCCCACCGTTTCCCGGATCTCGGCGCTCTTCCTTGCTGGTGCTGGCCGCGCGCACCAGCCGCCCGCTCCATCCCAGGCGCGGCCGGTTAGACTCCGGTCACTGGGACCTGGGGCGTCCGCTCACTAACCGCCCTCCTCTTTCTCTTCAGGTCGCTTCTGATTACCCCACACCATGCCCCTCAGCCTCTTCCGACGCCTTCTCCTTGCCGCCCTGCTGCTGGTGATTATCTGGACCCTCTTCGGGCCCTCGGGCATCGGGGAGGAGCTGCTGAGCCTCTCGCTGGCCTCCCTGAGCCCGGCTCCGGCCTCTCCAGGGCCGCCCCTGGCCCTGCCTCGCCTCCTGATCCCCAATGAAGAGGCGTGCGGGGGTCCCGGCGCCCCACCCTTCCTGCTCATCCTTGTGTGCACAGCCCCAGGGAACTTGAACCAAAGAAATGCCATTCGGGCTTCGTGGGGCGGGCTGCGTGAGGCCCGGGGACTCAGGGTGCAGACTCTCTTTCTGCTGGGAGAGCCAGGCTTGTGGCATCCTACCAGGGAACCCCACATCAATCTGATGCGGGAGGCAGCGGCCCAGGGGGACATCTTGCAGGCAGCCTTCCGGGACTCCTACCGGAACCTTACTCTCAAGACCCTCAGTGGGCTCAACTGGGCAAACAAACACTGCTCCATGGCCCGCTACATCCTCAAGACGGATGATGATGTGTTTGTCAATGTCCCTGAACTGGTGTCAGAGCTGATTCGGCGAGGGGGCCGTTGGGAACAATGGGAGAAGGGCAAGGATCCGCCTCTGAGAGAGGTTGAGTCTGGAGATGAAGACATGCAAGAGGGGTCCATCTTGAGGAGACAGCCAGTGCCTCTTCTGTACCTGGGCCGCGTGCACTGGCGGGTGCACCCCTCTCGGACACCAGGGAACAAGCACCAGATATCCGAGGAGCAGTGGCCTCCTACCTGGGGCCCTTTTCCACCCTATGCCTCTGGCACGGGGTATGTGCTCTCAGCTTCTGCCGTGCAGCTCATCCTGAAAGTGGCCAGCCGGGCACCCCCTCTGCCACTGGAAGATGTCTTTGTGGGGGTCAGTGCCCGACGAGGAGGCCTCACCCCGACCCACTGTGTCAAGCTGGCTGGGGCCACCCACTACCCCTTGGACCGGTGCTGCTATGGGAAATTCCTGCTGACATCCCATAAGCTGGACCCCTGGAAGATGCAGGAAGCCTGGAAGCTGGTGGGCGGCTCTGACAGGGAAAGGACTGCAGCCTTCTGCTCCTGGCTCCAGGAAGTCTTGGGCATCCTGCGCTGTCGGGTAATAGCTTGGCTTCACAGCTGAGAGTGCCTGGGGCCACAGGAGTGAGGAGCTGAGGGTCGAGCTGGCACCCCCTCCACCTTCTCCAGCCCAGGCCCAAGGCAGGGGGCCCTGACTGGCTGCAGCTGACCAGTCTCCTCTATCAGATGCTCTATTACTGAAGATGGAGAGATACGGGAGAAATCTAGGGGCCTGGCCTGCCAGCCCCCATCACGGTCGCCAGGAAGAGCAAACCAGTGCTGGGGTGCTTTCTTCAGCTATGGCAGAGGAGGGGCATAAGCTCCTCAATAAACTTGTTTGTCTACCTCTTCGAGTACAGCGTGATCCTCACCAGGAGTCCAAGAACACAAACCTGGGGAGCCTGGAGGCTGCCAGACCATGCTGGATGGGAAGGACATCGATCGCCAGGGACGTGGGAAAGAGAGGAGGAAGGGCCCTACAGAAAAAGGCTAAGGTCATGGTGATAAGATACAGGGTGGGGTAGAAGCGGGATACCAGGACCCCATCCAATCCTAGAGACATCCCAGGCTGCGCAAAGGGAGGGGAACAGGTCCCCAGTCTAGACACATTATCCAAAAAAATAGCCATCTTCTTTAATACTAACCCAGCCCAGGAGCCAGCTGTCTGTCCCCAGTTGGGGAAGGGGTTCACTACCCTCTCCTCATTCCAAGAAACAGGGTCATCTCCCCATAGGCCATCATGGGAAGACACTGTTGTTCTCAGGCCACCTGGAGCATGGCTCAGCGCACAAATCTGTCCAGGGCAGATGGCTGGGCCCTCGGGAACTTGGCCTTCTCTTGCTTCTGTGGCTGTTGCTCAAGGCTCTGCCGGACTTTATCCTGGGTGGGGAGATGGGGACAAGGTGAAAAGTGGCAGGCTGGCAAGGGCAGAGGCACTAGCATGGTGCCACAGGCTGTGGGATACCTAGCCCACCCCCCAATGATCATTTACCCGGTGCTCCTTGTCCATGACCTTCCTCTTCCTCTTCACCAGGCTTGCTGTCGAGCTGCGGCCCTTCTGCTTTGGCTTTGGTTGGAAGGGAGCCTTGGCCTCGGGGTCATAGCCCTAAGCAGGGGGACAAGGGTGAAATCTTGAATGGCTTCAGGGGCCAGGAACTGTGGCAGCCCCCATCCGCTGTGCCTCCTTCTGGGGACATGGCACGGCAGAGGGTGTGGAGGGGAGGAGGACCTGAGTATTGGGGCCTGCTCCATACCAGCCTCTCTATCCGCTCCTTCTTCTCTTGCTCCAAAGAGATGACATCAACCTCTGCCAGGGCTCGCGGGTCCAGACAAATGAGCTCTGCAGGTACCTGGAGGTGTCACAGAGGCACAGGAAAGGGTCAGGAGCCACAGAAGAATGACCCAAAGAGGGATGAGTCCCACTCTTCCCAAGACCCCTGGGGCATGGGGAGCCTTCCCCAACCCCAACCCTACACAGGCTCATGCTCACCTTCTCCAGCAGGGCCTTCACCTCCCACTCCTGGCGCTGCTTCTGGCTCCTGTATGGATTACTCTCTAGGCCGTCAAAGTTGGGTTCAGCAGCCCCTAGAGGGATGGAGAAGCATGAAGCCATAAACAGAACCCAGTCCAGCAGCTGCAGCCCAACCAAGCCCTTTGTTGCTGGCTGTCCTGAGCCAACCCAAACTTCCACCCAGAGTTTATTCACATGGATCCCATCTCCTGTCCCACTCACCAGGGACCAGCATGCTGGTGATGCCGCCACTGTGCCCCACCCCCAGCACATCTTCAAAGGGGCAGAAATGAAGGCCATGCACATGGCCTGAGAGCCGGTGGGTGAGGTAAGGCTGCTCCAGGGAGGGTGGGCTAGCCTTGCCCTGCCCTGCCCATATGTTGACCACGTCACCCATGCCCGCAGCCAGCAGTCCCCGCTGGGAAAAGTCCAGATGCCCCGCTCCCTGGGGCAGGGTCCGAGCACTCAGAGGCTGGAACATCCCTCGTAGGTCAAAGATCTTCAGCTGGTGGTCCAGGCCAGAGGTGGCCATGTACCTGGTGGAGAGGGGGGTGAGCATTTAAAGGAATCTGTTGCATGGGCCTGCTGAGCAGGGCTGTGGCCAAGTGCAGGCATAAAGTTTCACTGGGGAGAAACAATTTTTATTTCCCTTTTACAGACGAGGAAACCGAAGCTCAGAGAAAAGTGATCAGGGTGAGTGGTAGAGCTAGAATTCAAATCATGCCTGTCTCTTCAGTGTCTGCCCTCTTAATCAAAGGGAGAGCACACACGCCCATCAGCCAAAGTGACCCGTTCCGCCGCATACAAGGGAGCGCAGTGGCTCTGCAAAGAGAAGGACCGACAGCAATGGTCAGGGAGGACTTCATAATAAAACTGGGATTGGAGCCATTGGAGGTCAGTCTCGAGGAAGCACAAGAAACACCTAGCAGGTACAAAGGAAGAAACATCACAGTGTGGAGGTGAGATGGAAACAGAGGTCTGCTTTCGGGACTGGTGGGACATGTGGGTAGCAGGATGAGGAGGGGAGTACTGGCAGGGGCTCCTGAAACTCGGACTGAAGATGCAGATCTCCAACAATGCTCTCTGGCGATGAGAGACAGACTGAAGGCTGCACGGAGTTGAGAAAAGCTGAGGAAGCCGAGCCGTCGTGCGGTAGAGGACCCCGCCCCACCCTGTGTTTCCCTGGAAGACGGGAGGGCCGCACTCTCCACGAATGTGTACTGCCGCTGCTTGTTTTCAGAGATTGGGAGTGTCTATCTATGTCCAAGTTGTTCCTCGGAGACGGAGGCTGAAGGGAGACCAGCAAGGCCGGGGGATGTAAGTTTACCAAAAGGCCACGGACTCTCTTCTTAGTCTTGGCTGTGAGCCCCAGAAGAGGGGACTGAGGGGCTCCTATGATAGGAACTAGCCCTGTGACGGGGCTGAACAGAGGCCCAACTGGATTCTATTCCAGACACAAGACCCTCAGGGCCCCAGCTCCAGCAGACGGGAAGGACCGCCAGTGCTAACTGGGAATTACCGAGGGCTCCTGGGACACAGGGTCACTCCTTTCAGTCAACCCACAACCGAAGGGCACATGCTGGCTACTCTCCCCCCACACACCCACCTTTGGGATTTACTGCACAAATACCAGCCCGCTGGCCGGAGGGCATCCAGGCTGCGCTACCACGCTTCTAAACTTGCAGAAAACAGTTTAGCTCTGAGAATCCAATCCAAACCTAATGCAAGCTTCCATAATGCCTTTTTGTTTGTTTGTTTAATTTGACAGAGATCACAAGTAGGCAGAGAGAGAGGTGGAACCAGGCTCCCCGCTGACCAGAGAGCCTGATGAGGGGCTCAATCCCAGGACCCTGAGATCATGACCTGAGCTGAAAGCAGAGGCTTAACCCACTGAACCACATAGGCACCCTTCCATAATGCCTCTTAAGGCAAACAGCAAGCCTCATCTCTGCGGCCCCTGTGGCCTGAGGTGCTCCTGAGGGCAACCAGAGATAAGCAGAGGTGGGCCTACAGTCAAGGACCTGTGCTGCTGTCCAGGTGTGGACCAAATCTCAGGGAACTAAGTGACTAGGCCTTGGGCACAGCAGTACTTGACCGAAGCATACCAGGGAAGGCAGACCACAGCTTAGACTCAGTGGCCCACAGAGAGCACGCTCCTAAAGCCAGCTGGCACAAATATGGAGTAAAAACGGCTGAGACAAATCACTTGGCCCCAAAGATACAACAACTATTAGAGGACCAGGGAGGGTGGGCCTGAGCATCTGGAAGGTTTTCATAAGTTGATGGCTACTAGGCTGTTCCTTTTCCTGACTTTGTTTAAAACCACTTAAAAATAAAGTTACGGGGGCACCTGGGTGGCTCAGTGGGTTAAGCCGCTGCCTTCGGCTCAGGTCGTGATCTCAGAGTCCTGGGATCGAGCCCCGCATCGGGCTCTCTGCTCTCTAGGGGAACCTGCTTCCTCCTCTCTCTCTGCCTGCTTGTGATCTCTCTGTCAAATAAATAAATAAAATCTTTAAAAAAAAAAAGAATAAAAAAATAAAAAAATAGTTACGTAGTTTACGCCACATATAGAAGATTCCCGTGCAGCAGTGTGAAGGGAGGAAGGCAGCTGTGGGAATGATCAGTCTGCCAACAGCACCCAGGACATGCCGGGAGAAAGAAGAACCAGAGGCGGGAAAGTGGCTGCGAGCATCATACATGTTCACAGGAGACAGCGAGGATGGAGATAAACAGACCTCGGAGAGCGCAGCCGGGACTGTGGACAGTAATGAAGTGACAGCACCAAAGCAAGTAGCATGAGCCTGGGCCTCCAGGAAGCACCCGGTAAACAGCAACTTGGTTCCTGCCCTTACTGCTGGCTGAGGACGATGGGGCTGTGTAGCTAGAGGTGTCAAGTCCAATTCTGGGTGAGAGGAAAATGTGGCAGAAAGGGAACAAGCAAGGAAGAGCAGGGTGACCTATCCCTTAACAGACACATTCGGTCTGGGGTGACAGAAGACAACTCAGCAGGAACTAAACGCATCTCCTGAATAATCATTTCCATAAACTCCAGTCTCCTGTTTCTGTACATAAAGTGGAATACCGCACCAGGGCAGGGCCGAAAGCCCCTTCATCCTTGGACCGCCCCCAGAAGCCCAGGCCCAGAGCCCAGCCCACAGCAAGTGCCTGGGAGTGCCTAACAAAGAAACGAATTAAGGGGAACACCCACTACTCCCATTAGAGGGAACCTGTGTACAACAGAACACACTGTGTACACACATACACACATGTACACATACGCCTCAGACGGCACACCAGGGCAGCTGCAAACTCTCAAAGAGTAGAAATTCTGAGCAGGCCCACCACTCCTACCCGTCACATCACCAGCCAGGCCTAAAGAGAACAATCACCTTTGATGACGCCAATGGCGAAAACCAGTGCTCCATACTCCCTGGGCACCAAGCCAAACCTGATATGCCTTAACTCGCTTTAACATTTAGGACGCCTTGGTGGACTACAGCCCACGCCCCAAACAAATCCGGCCACCACCTACTTCTGGACAGCCCTCGAGCTCCGAATGGTCTGGCCATTTTTAAGTGCCCGGAAGAAATTCAAAAATATTTTGAAACAGGTGAAAATTATACAGGAGATTCAAATTTCAGCATCTGCAGATGCAGCTGTTTGGGAGCACAACCCCACTCGTTCATTGGTTTCTTCTGTGGCCACTTTTGTACTACAGTAGCCTGGGAGAGCCGTCAAGACCAACATCACGTGTGGTATGTCATCTCTTTGTACCGCTGTGGGCGCATGACAACTCGTGGTGACATGGTTATAACTTGACAGCGTTTAAAGTGCCACCTAGGGCACCTGGGTGGCTCAGTTGGTTGAGCAACTGCCTTCGGCTCAGGTCATGATCCTGGAGTCCCGGGATCGAGTCCCACATCAGGCCCTCTGCTCATCAGGGAGCTGGCTTCTCCCTCTGCCCATTGCACCTTTCATTCTCTCTCTCAAATAAATAAAATCTTTAAAAAAAATAAAAGTGCCACCTATCTCATCATCTGTATGAA